CGAAGGTACAGAACCAAGGTGCCAGATTCAGTTTGATACAACCTGAAGGAGAAGCATCTGTTTCAGGATCACCATCTTCTCTTTGATAGAACTTGAGCCTTTATTCTTGGGCTCAAAACCCTGCCGGGAGAAGATAATAAGGCATCTCTTTGCTGCTGCTGGTCAGACTGTCCCTAGGTATAGAAAAATGAGAAAGTTTGTTCCCAGGTGTTTCTAGAAAATAAGGAGACAATGCTAAATCTCAGAAAAAAAGGCAGAAAAACTATCACTACCAAGCCAATGGCCTGATAGACCTGGAGCTAGCATGTTCACCCTTTTAGTAACTGTTGGAAGTATTAACACACATGCACACACACACACACACACACACACGCACACTTCTTTAAAGATAAGTAAAACCACACACTTTTCTATCTCTGGTCACCAAGCAGATAAGAAATTAGGATTAAGGTGTGCCTGACTCTCAAGCCAGAACTCTTTCCACTACACTAAGCTCCTGGATGAAGCCGCCTGAAGAATGCCAGGAGCCACCCTCAGAAGCATCTGTCACCCTGCCAGGGGACCAATCCTCCATCACAGCCTTCCTTGGATGCCCCAATACTGGGGTTACAAATAATAAGAATCATGGCAGCGCCTTCTCCCCCTTTGGAAGCCAGTAATGAACATGAAAATATACATTGTTTTCCTCAGGCCCTCCATCAAATTCCACTCCTGCAACAGGCATTGCTTGACAAGCGGTATATGTAGTGGCACAATCCAATAAAAATGAAATGAAGAAAATAACTTTATTTTTCACTACTTCCACCTCTTAGTTGAATTGTGAATATTCTAGTTACATCTTATACATAGCCTGTCTAGAAACTCATTTTAAGATGAAATATGTCCCTGTGTGACTTGTATTTAAAACCAACCTGGCTTTCATCAGCCTGGGGTAAAGAAACAGGTGACAGGCTTATGAGAAGCTCTAATGGGCCTCTGAACTTTCTTTACACCACTCTTTCTCACGGTAGGTGACACACATCGCCAGGCGTTCTTTTTTGGGAAATAAAACATCTGCCCTAGGAACACTCTAAATCTTGCCAAAGGGAGAAAAGCTCTTCTCTTCTGTAATATAATGAAATGATAAAGGAAATATAGTTATGATATAACATCAAATAACAAAGGAGGATGTAAAATGGTCTGCATCGCATGACTCAACCACACAGTATTCTAGAAAGTCAGTCCAAAGGAAGCAACTTAGAATGTTAATGGAAGTTATTTTGGTTCATGGGATTATACATGATTACGTTGCTTCTCCCATTTCAGTAATAAGCACATATGGCATCTAAAAATTTAAATGAAATTACTAAAAAAGGAAATATTTTTTTCCAGAAAGAGACTTATGTATGGTTCAGTCTCTGCTTCCCACTGACACCCTTATATGAGGACATAACTTTGACTAATACCAGACACAAGGTTTTCTAAGAAAACAAAATTGTACACCAATCCTGTTGATGAATATAGATTAAAAACTCATTCTTAACCTTGCAAATCAATGTAGCAGAGGACAGAAAACAATATACTGTAAACAGCAAAGTTGACCCCAGAAATGAAGGTCAGAAAATCTACCACTCAAATTCACCATAATAAAAATTTTAACATATATATATTTTTTAAGAGAATATACATACATGTATATTAGTTGAAATAAGTACGGAAAATACATGTGGTAAAATCCAAAGTGCAAAAATACTTCCTAGAAAATACATAAAAATGAACTAATAATGAATCTGTAGTAAAAAGTTAAATACTGCACTTAAATGTGTTGAGGAGTATTTCTACTAATTCAGGAACAAGTATACCTGCTCTCATTAAATACTGTACTGACACACCCAGCCAATGCAATAAGATAGGAAAAATAGATTAAGTACTTAATGACTGAAACATTCACAGAAACTTATGTTTCTGTGAACCTTTCAACACAGGTTATGTGTTGCAGCTACAGAAAATCCAAGAAGTGCTGAAGACAGCAAAGGAGTTCAACCACATTTTCACATTCAAGAGTCAAGATCATCCCATACACTGCTTATTCCTTTTATTCTTTATTATTATTATTATATTTTGGTACTGGGGATCGAGCTCTGGTCCATGTACTTGAAAGGCAGGCGCCACAACCACTGAGCCAAATCCCCAGCCACTGCTTATTCCTTTTAAAGCTCTCTATATTTTGACCAAGTCAGCAGCATTTGTTTAGTAGATTATTTGTCAAATCAGCAATGAATTAGTCCCGATCCCACAGTTCACCTTCTCTTTTTAATGCATGTATATGATTCCATGGTACCTTGTTCCACACAAGTGCATCTAGAATAAAAATTGTTTATCACCACTGCATGATTACAAACAACTGTAAAATAGGGCTGTGGGACAAATCAATGATATAATTTCTAAGAGCCCCCTGACTGTAAAATAGGCTTAAAGAAGAAAATGTGACGATGAAGATAAGGAGGGGGAAGAAGAGGAGGAGATGGAAGAGAGGAGAAGGAAACAGTGTGTGTCACAGACTAAATATTCAGGTCAGGTCCCAACTGAAGTCTTATTGAAGCTCTAAGCCCAGTGTGGTAGTGTTTGGAGACAGAAGTGTGGGGAAGCAATGAGGATGAGATGGATTAGGAGGGTGGGACCTTTGTATTAGGAACAGTGGCAAAATAAGGGCTGGGAGGTGGACAGGGAAGGAGGAAAGTGGGCAGGAGGACAGGATTCTGCTCTTTGTCTTCCAAGAGAGGACACAGCTAGAAGGCAGTCAACCCAAAGCGAGGGGCAGGGACCTGTCCAGGAATGAAATCAGCTGCCATCCGAATATCAAGCCCCCAGATCTGTGAAGAATGCCTTTTAGTTGCTTAAGCCACCCGATGTGTGACTGATTAGGACAGGATGGGTGAGAGTGACTGGAGAAGAAAAATAGAGAAAAGAGGTACAGAATGAAGGAAAATGGCAGGGAAGGAAAGGGGAGAGGAGTAGGAGAGAAAGAGGAGGGGGGAAGCGAGAAAAAAGAAGATGAGGAATATAGATAACCTTTATTGAGCATTTATTATGCGCCAAGTAGTGTACTGTTTCACTTGTTTCATTTCAACTAATCTTCAGAATGAACCTGGAGGTTTGTCATCTCATAGCCTCATTTTATGGAAGAAAACGGGTTTAGAGAGGTTAAGAAGTCACACAGTGAGGATGTAGCACAGCTGGACTCTGCTCAGGCTCCGTGGCATTCGCTAAGCAGGAGAGGACGTTCCTTATGCATAGTTATGCTACTTTTAAAGCTTCTGGGGATGTGAAGATGAGGAGTTTCCAAAAGGGTCACCTTCATTCCCCCATCTCCAAATCTCCAGCTAAACCAGTGTCCTGAAAACCCGAATCCTCTCTTTAGAATGCTTCTGGCTTTGCGTGTTAAAATTAATAATGAAAAATATGCACTAAGATACAAATTTTAATGCATTAATCATTCAAGAGCACAGGTTTAGCAGAAAGGTTAAATTTGAAGCAAAATATAACTTGTCAGTTCCGAGTGAAAAGGCATTTGAATTCTCGCACACACAACATCTCCAAATCCTTTCATTCTTCCACACAGCCCTTTTCTCAGGCACTGTTCTCCCACTTTCTTGCTTGCTTTCTATTGTACTTAGACCACGGTGTATAAAAATCCACGGTTTCCACTAAGATTTAGCCAATAAAACAGACTTCCTCCAAAATATCTGTGTTTCAAGTAAACATGAAAAACAAAATTTATGGTGCTTCGTGGGGTTCTGGCAGTCCAAGAGCTTTACACGTATCACATTTCTGTCCCCTGCTGCATAGAGAGTGTCAGACAACTGCCATCACAAACACAAGAGGGCAGGCGCAGTGACACTGTGAGCAAATCACTGCTCTACAAAGTGGCGAGGGGCATTCTGGTTTGCAAATACAGCTGCACAGATTTCAAGACCTGAGAGATTCTCTGAATTCCCTGCCAGGCAACTCAGAAGCCAAGGCAGGGAAAGTGCTAAAAACACAGGAAGAACACACACATACACACTCTCTCTCTCTCTCTCTCTCTCTCTCTCTCTCTCTCTCTCTCTCTCTCTCTCACACACACACACACACACACACACACACACACACAGAAGTAGCTAACTTTTTATTTCAGTAAGGCACAGGCTCACTAAAATCAAGGTCACAAAGCCAAGGGACCCCATTCTCACCAAAGCATGGGAGGTGATACAATCCCTTATCTATCACTTCAGACATGCCAGCACATCTTCATCCACAACTGTCCAGCACTCTCTATCCACCGTGAACAAGGGTGCCAGCTCTGAGGGGGTTTGCAGTCCAGCCCACCCACAAAAATGCAGCGTATTTGAAAAAAAGTGAAATATTAACTATGCTACTAAACCAAAAACAAACGGAAGCCGTTCACTCAAACTAAGAACACAGAGGGGCTCTGCTGGGAGGCTCCACTACACTCAACCTGGGGACTGAGTAGCACTCAGCACAGAAACAGCGAAGAGCAAGAGCAAGACTGGTGGCAAAACGCCAGTGAGTCTCAGTGTGGTCTCTGGGCCTGCAGGACCTGGCTGCCCTGGACTCACAGCATCAGGAGCTCTGGGGAAGGGCCTCCGCAATCTGCACTTTAAGAAGCCCTTCAGGAGACTGGTGCTGCAGAATCTGAGACCCATTGGTACTTGTATATGTGAAACACAATAGGCAGAATTGCGGGAGGATTCATTGGGTCAGGAGCTGGAGGAGTGCAGACAGTCAAGGCCAGAGGGATGGGTGCAAGGCATATTCAGGAGGGTTTGCATACTGTGAAAATAATTTGGAATTTTACCTGGAGAGTAAGAGAGAGCCATTAAAATACAATGAGCATTAAAACAACAAACAATTTTTAAAATATATGCAATCATAAGTATACCTCTTTGTATCATTCCAGAGATAAAGACCTCTTTCTTGCACAGAATAAGCCATATAGAAGGCAGCTAATGTGCCCCTACCTTTCTTTCTGGAGTCTTTCTTGGCGCTGGTTTTCACAGCTACTTGAAGTTCTGCCTCAGTTGACATCCTACTTAATCCTTAGTCCACTTCACACAGATCCCGGGCCTTGGCCAGGCTCATTGAGGATCCTCTCCAAGAGAAAGGTTCCTCCCTTCACAAACGACACCCCGAGTTGGACATGTCATTCACTCTTGTGGAGTGCTGCAAAGCAAGGTGAGAGGAATGGCCAGGCTCATTGAGGATCCTCTCCAAGAGAAAGGTTCCTCCCTTCACAAACGACACCCCGAGCTGGACATGTCATTCAGTCTTGTGGAGTGCTGCAAAGCAAGGTGAGAGGAAATCAGAATAACGCTCCCTTTGAAGGTAAACAGAAATCATAGGCCCGAGGTGAACTGGCAACCACACAGGAACAAGGACATCCTGGGCTTTGCATACAAACTGTTCACGTAGCTTCATAAAGGCCACTGGGTGACTTTCTGCAAAGGAATGAGCAGCTCATCTCGAAAATTGCTTCTCACACTAGGAAAGGAAAGACAGCTCTTTAACCTCTAGGATTTTCAAGAGGGGCAAAACCGCACACTTTTTCTCTCGTGTCCTTATTTTCAAGCACCAGACGCCACCCAGAAAAATACCGCAAAGGTGTATTTCCCGATCAACCCCATGGAGACTTTGCCAAGGACAGGGCAGCCATTCATCAGCCAAGCTTGATCAGAGCCTGGGAAGCTACAGCCGATCAGAGGGGAGTGACTGTGCTCCAGCCCTCACTAGCAGGCATCAGAGGGGCATGGACTCTGCTGTGCATTTGGGCTCTGAGGGTGAGGTGACCAAGGGGGCTGAAAAACTTTCCAGCAAGCCAATTTTTATGTCAGAGTTTCCCCCAGCTAGAAGAGCAGACGAGCATTTAATGTGGGGAGGAAAAAAAAAAAAAAAGGAAAGAAAGGGAACAAGCAGACACACATTTCATTCATTCATTCACTAATACATATGCATCACACAACAGCAGGTACTATTAAGTTCAGGCAAAGCTCGGAGGAGAATAATGATAATTACAATAACACAACCACTTCAATTGCAGCTGGTATTTACTAGGCACCTACTAGATACCATGCTCTCAGTTGCTGCTGCACGTACATTATTTCATCTGATCTCCTTTAAATTAAATAAATCTGATCTCTTTGTCAACAGTCTATTGCAGTGACTGTCTGATAGGTATACACGAGAGCCCCACTGAAAATAAATATATCACTATTATCCACACTTTAAGAAAATACTAAGAAAAGCTACTAGGAATGGAGAGATGGATCTTCAAATTGCCCAGCCAATTCTGAGCTCATTCCACAGAATTAGAACTGTCTCATCTTATAGAGCTGACCTTGAACGCCAGTTTCAGCTCAGAGAGAATAATGACCCAAATCTCATCATGGTGACAATTAAAGATGGCTGAACCAGAAGGCCTCATATGAAAGCCACATAAAATTATAGTAAAGCTTAAATATGAGGAACTTTCCACCTGATTTGGATTTATGTTTTAATAAGATATTTTGTAAAAAGAACACTGTACAGGGCTGGGGATTTAGCTCAGTGGTTCTGCCACTTGCCTTGCAAGCACAAGGACATGAGTTCAATCCCCAGTATCAAAAAAAAAAAA